CGCGGGGGCCCGGTTCCTGCTTCCCGGGCCCTGGCCCGGCCTATCCTCGGCTCCTCCCCGGGGTCCCGGCCCGACCTCGTCCGTCTCGGCCCCCGCCCCAGCGTCCCGCGGCCCCGACCCGGCCCCCGCTCCTCACCAGACCATAGTGCTCTCCAGCACCATCTTGCCTCCCTCCGAGACACCGGCCGGGCTAGGCCCAGCCAACAAGCCACCCTCGCACTGGCCCAGCCTCCAGCCAATCACCGGCGCCCATCTTAAAAGGTCGGCCGCAAGGGCCGCTGGGAGTTGTAGTTTCATCGCGTCTTCCCAAGGGACTACAGAAGGACAACTTCGTCCCCGGCTAGGGGCGGGAGGCCTCTCGTTGGAGCTGCTCCCTCCCCAGCCTTGCAAGAAAAATGGGCGCAGGCAACTCCTCTCACGCAGGGAGATTAGTTGCGTTTTATTCCCCCAGCAGGAAAAGTTACTTGGCCCAGATGAATGGGCTTTCGCCCTGGAGGAATTGCCAGGTTTTTGCAAACAAAATTGCTTTGGAAAATTACTGGCCCTGATGCAGAATTCACTTGCCAGCCCTTTGTTGTCATAACAACGGGGGAAAAGAGAAATGAGTGAAATGCAAATAATGGGACTTGCAGCGCTGGGAGGGAGGGCACTTGTGCGTTGTAGGTTTGAGCCCTATCTGAGTTGAGCTTTCAGGCATTATTTTGAGAAAGTTCTCTGGCCTGTGTTAGACAGGAGGTCAGACTAGATGGTCACAGTTGTCCCTTCTGGCAGTTTAAACCTGACCTTGCAGGAATGGACAAGCACTTTATTTCCAAGACAAGCTTTGTAGATGTGCCATTGCTACAACAATTCCTAGCGTGGCTGCCCGCCAACGAGTGAGCGCTTTGGAATGCGTGTACCCACAAGTCAAGTACATGGAGGAGTGCAGCATCTGTTAATTGTTTGGGAGTAGTGCTTGGATTGGTTAAGGACATAAGAAGGCCATACTGGGTCAGACCAATGGTCCATCTAGCCCAGTATCCTGTCTTCCAACAGGGGCCAATGCCAGGTGCTTCAGAGAGAATGAACAGAACAGGTTCTGTGATCTGTGATTAAGTGATCCATCCCCTGTCACCCATTCCCAGCTTCTGGCAAACAGAGGCTAGGGACACCATCCCTGCCCATCCTGGCTAATAGCCATTGATGGACCTCTCCTCCATTAATTTTTCTAGTTCTTTTTGAACCCTGTTGTAGTCTTGGCCTTCACAACATCCTCTGGCAAGGAGTTCCACAATTCCCCTGCACATTTCTTTGATCAGTATCACATTTAGCTTCAATCCATCCCATCCCTGCCAGTTAAAATTACCCAGAGGATGGTAGCCTTGGATTACTAGGCTTGTGGTAACTGAAAACTCCCACCTGTGCACCTATAGATCTTACAGTGTAAACAAAGATACCAGACTCTTTTGTTAACTGTTTTAAAAGTAGCTGGTGCAAGAGAGATGTCCTGACCATATTTGGCCATTGGGGGTCACTGCACTACCAGCTCAAGAGGACCGAACAGGCACTTGTGTTTCTCTGGAAGAAACATTTTTAAAGGTGGACTTGAGGTTTAGATGGTGAAATTCAAAGCTGGGACCATTACGCATTTTGTTTAGGGATTCCTTCTGCATGAGTGGCTTGTGATGATCTCTCTACCCCATGTTTAAAGTCAGCCCCAGTAACAAACCAATAAGCTTTGATATTTTAACTTGCTTCATCCGTCTATAATGAGGGAGACAATGTGATCTAGTGGGTAGGGCACTGGATCTGGAGTCAGGACATCTGGGTTCTTCTATTCCTGGCTGTGAGGATGGGTGAGTCACTTCCCCTCTCTGTTTCCTCTCCCATCCTTTGTCTGCCTTATCTATTTAGGTTTCAGAGTAGCAGCCGTGTTAGTCTGTATCCGCAAAAAGAACAGGAGTACTTGTGGCACCTTAGAGACTAGCACATTTATTTGAGCATAAGCTTTCGTGGGCTACATCCGAAGACGTGGGCTGTAGCCCACGAAAGCTTATGCTCAAATAAATTTGGTAGTCTCTAAGGTGCCTCAAGTACGCCTGTTCTTTTTGCTTATCTATTTAGATTGCCTACGCTCCCTAGGGCAGGGAATGGCTAGGTCTACAGTACAGAATTACTTCGGTATAACTACGTCACTCAAATCCACACCCCTGAGTGACGTAGTTAAGGTGACCAGACAGCAAGTGTGAAAGATCGGGACAGGTGGTGGGGGGTAATAGGAGTCTATATAAGAAAAAGCCCCAAATATCGGGACTGTCCCTATAAAATCGGGACATCTGGTCACCCGGTTATACCGATCTAAGCGCCAATGTAGACAGTGCTAGGTTGACAGAAGATCTTCTCCTGCTGACATAGCTACGGCCTCTGGCAGAGGTAGATTAACTATGCCAACAGGAGAGCTCTCTCCTGTCGGCATAGTGTGTCTTCACGAAAGCACTGCAGAGGCGCAACTGCATTGGTGCAGCGTTTTAAGTGTAGATCTGTTCTTAGTGTACGTACAGCACCTAGCACAATGGGGCCCTGATGTCACGTAGGGCCTCTAGCCCTATTGTAATATTAATAGTAAAAGAACAGTTAGGGCTTTTTAATCAGGAGATCTCCAAGCGCTTTACCATGGAGGTCAGTATCCTTATCCCCATTTTACATGGGGAAACTGAGGCACAGAGACGGGCAGGGACTTGCCCAAGGTCACCCCTCAGGCTAGGAGCAGAGCTGAGACTAGAACCCAGGTCTCCCAAGCCCCAGTTTAATGCTTTATCCACACTGAGGCAAGTGTGTACATGGTTATGAAATTGTATCTGTTATTACATCACCATCTGCTGTCACTTGTCTCAGGCCCTGGTCCTGCAGCGGGAGCTCTGCACAGAACCAGTTTCAGGATCCGGGCCTTGGATTGTGAGCTGTTCAATGCAGCGAGCATGGCTTTGTCCAGCATGCAGCACAGTGAGGTCCTGACCCTCCTTGAGGCCTCTGGGTATTACAGCAATATAAACAGTAAGCAGGGCCAGTGCTCCCATTAAGGTGAACTAGGCGGTT